ATGATTCTTTTTATTGAATCTTCTGAATTCAATAAGGATAAAACTCCAAGCAACCATTTTAATTAGAGCATAATTGCAGAAATTTCTATGAATGTTCTGGATTCACACACACACATACACACACACACACACACCCTGTATCCAGTAAAAAAAAAAGTTTATGTTGAAATCCTAACCTCAGCATCTCAGTGAGACTTAATTTAGAAGTAGAGTTGTATAAATAAAACAAATTAAGATGAGGAACAAGATGGGCTCCTAATCCAATGGGACTGGTGGTCTTTGTAAGAAACAGTGTATGAAGACCAACAGACACTAGAACATCTTGTGACAGTGAAGACAGACTAAAGCTATGCCACTGTGAACAAATGAGAAGAAGTTAGAAAGAGGCAAGAAAGGGCTCCTTTCTTATGGCTCAGAGGAGGTGGGTCTTTGTCCTTTAGCTCCAGCCTCTGAAGTATGAGAAGTAAATTTGTGTTATTTTAAGCCCTCCACATTGATGAGTTTGGTCACAGCAGTCTTAGGAAATAGGTTTAATAAGGTGACAGCTGTATGCAGAGTTGAACAAAAATGAAAGATCTGAAAATACTGGCTCTTGAGACCTCAATACTGGGAACCCACACTGATAAAATAAAACATCATCACAAGAAGTCCTAGCACAATCTTGAACTTAAAAGTTATAGTCTCAAAAAAAAAATCTTTCTCCCAAAGTTTGGCAGCTTTTCCAACAAGTGCTAAATAATGAACATTTCCTGCTTTAAGAGAGTGATGAAACAAGTCAGGGATAGGGAGAAACTATTTGTGAACCACATAGCTAATAAAAGATTGCTATCCCAAATATACAAAGAATTCTTAAAACTCAACAATAAGAAAACAAATAGTATGATCAAAAAAATTGGCTAAAGACTGGAACTTACACCTCACCAAAGAAAACACAGGTGGTAAATAATCATATGAAAGATGTTCAACACCCTGTCCTCAGTGAACTGCAAATTCAAACAACAATGAGTTAGAAATACAGCTTAGTGGAAGGATATGTGCTCAACATAAGAAAATAAAAAAGCCAAAAGCCAAACACAAATCAACCCCCTACTCCTAACAGAAAGGGAGTCACTATTACAAGCTATAGCACAATATCACAATCACTCAAATCTCACCCACTACTAGTTTCAATTGCTAGCTTGAATGTAAAACAATCACAATTTTCACCTACTGCAAGCAGGAATGCAAAATGGCACAGCCTTTATAGGAAACAGGATGGCAGTTTCTTGCCACATGATCCAACAACCATGCTCTGATATGTACACAAATGAATTGAAAGTTTATCGTGCAGGAGAATCTGCAGACAGATGTTTATAGCAGCTTTTCTCGCAGCTGCCCCAACTTGGAAGCAACCAGGATGTCCCTTTGGAGCTGAAAGGATAAATAAGCTGCGGTACGTCTAGATATTACTTAGCACTGAGAACTCAGTGCTAAAATGAAATGCACTATCAAGCTGTGAAGAGATGGAGGAATCTGACATGCATATTACTAAGTGACAGAAACCAATCTGCAGAGGCTACCTAAGGCATGCTTCCAAATATATATTATTCAGGAAAAGATAAAACCCTAGAGACTAAAAGAAATGAAGAAAAAAATAAGAACAATGAATCTGCTGTGATGATACTACAATGGTAGATATATGGTTATTACTACTTGCACAAATGCAGATTATCTTCAAGAAAAGTAGGCCCTAAGGTAAACTATTGATTCCAAGAAGAAATGGTATATGTTGTCAATCAACATTGTGGGAGAGGGCTGTAATGATGCAGGCTGTGCATGTCTGAGAGTAAACAATCTAGGGCAACCCTGTGTACTCCCTATTCAATTTTTTTCTGTGAAATCTAAAACTTTTTAAAATTAATTTTGCTACACCAGGACTTAATGATTGAGGTCTAAAAATGTGAGGAAGATACTAAGGGATCTATGTTTAGAAGCTAAAACACATGACCAAAAAAACAACAACAACAAAAAAAGGGAAGAATTGGAAAGCTGATTTTATGCAATGAGTTCTGTTCTAGTTAAGACAAAGCAGCTTGTATAAGACAAATATCCTTGCCAAGAACAATTAGAGAAGGTGGATGAAATTTATAATATAGAATATTTGAACATCCAACAGCTACCAAGATAATAAGGATCGGAAGGACCAAGACCTTGGAGAAGGAGAAAGAGATATTAGGAGCCATGTTTTCCTCCCTGGCACTAATCAGTTTTGAGAGAGATCCTGGGAGCCTGAGGAACCAAGCAAAAGCTAAGAAGCTGAGAAACTATGCAGAGCCTGGCAAAATCTCATGAGGCGAGGAGACAAAGATGGAAGCTAAAGGAAGTGCCATAATTTGAGAAAGAACCCAGAAGTGATCCTTTCTCAGGACCACCCAGAAATGGTTCTGGTAGTGTACTAGATCTGCTTTGAATCAGTTCCAAAAAAGTTGGTTTTACACATTTTTTTCTGATCTCCATTTATAATTTCAGCTTGAAATTGGCAATAGTGGAAGTATTTATATTATAGGAACTATCAAATGTTACAATTCGATCCCTTCCCATGATTGATGTTAAACAATAGTCCACCTCTGGCTATATTCAGAAAATTAGAGCAAGTAAGGAAATGAACCAGTCCTCAGAAAGACTGAAAACTAACCCTTCCGATTAAAATAATCAGTTTCTACCTTATGGTAGAGGTAGAATTAAATATTCCTTAGAGGAAGGTGGAATAAAATCAGAATCTATAGAGGTAAAATCTTGTTTTGTTTTTGTAAACAATGGTCATTATTCAAAAAAAATTACCGGGCACATTGAGATGGAATTAAGAAGGCAGAGGAATACAACAAAATAAGGCAAAAACAACTGAAACAAATCTACATTGGATGTAGACACAGGAAAACTCTGAAAGCACTTTAATATGTTTAAGTATCTACAGGAAAATACTAAAACCTTAACCAGAATACTGGAATCTATGAAAAATAACCAATTGTAATTCTGGAAGTAAAATATTGACAAAAGTTAGAAAGCCAATAGTTGAGCTTAATAGCAGGTCAAAAACAGATGAAATAGGGCTAGAGAATTAGAACAGTACTTTCACAAATATGAATGTATCCAATTCACCCAAAGATGAAGACTTGAGAATGAGCAGGTATGTGGGTGGGCTTGAGAGTTCATAGGGTGCTGCCTACCATAGTTTGGAACTGTAATTTCCCCAAAGGCTATTCGCTGGGAGAGAGAACCACCTTTCCAGGAGGTGAGAAATAGTGGAGAGAAGTAGGCAGTTGGGAGTCATGTCTCTGAAGGGGATACTGGCCTCTGTTCCCCTCTCTTTTACTTCCTGGCTGCCATGAAGGAAGCAGCCTCCTTTGCCACATTTTTCTACCAAGATAGAATACCTCACCACAGGCCCCAAAGTCATGAATCTGTTTATAAGAACTTCTAAAATTATGAGCCAAAAGAAACCTTTCTTTTCATAAGTTGATTAATCAGGTACTTTGTTGCAGTAACAGAAAGCTGATTGTCACATGGCCTCTGGTAAAAGCAGTGCTGTGGCTCAAGCCACTGCTGCTTTGGGCTCGTGGATGGTTCTGAATATCAAATACCAAAGAAACAGGAGAAGAGAGAAAAACACAAAGAAAAGAGAAATGAAAAATACAGACAAGGACATAACAGACATTGGGAACCGTAATGAAAATACCTGACATGTATTACAGCTGATTCTGAAGGAGAGATGAAGGAAGAACTATCTGAAGAGAAAATGGCTGAGATTTCTAAACCTTACAAAAAGAGATCAAGGCCCAGACAGAAAGAGCAAAAAGAAACCAAGAAAGATAAATAAAAAGAAAAGTACTCTGGAGGGAGATTAAACACAACCCTTCTGGGTTATGTCAGACACACCAGACCTATTGATGGTGTTCTGTGTCTAATAAAGTAAACTTCAGTGAAAGCTAGGGAAACCCCACAAAAGTGTTGAGTACGTTGTTTAAGGAATCAATACACACGAATGCAATCTCTCTTTCTCTCCATACACACATATGCACATAATGTATGTGTACAACGTACAAGGATGTGGTCAATAAAATATTGAAATGATATATATCATTTTGATACTCATATATAAATATCTGCATACTAAAAACCAACAGTAACAAGATTTAGGTTATTCCTTTTACTATTTACTCATGAAAGCTACTAAGGGAAAGTAATGGCAATGCATAGTTTTTGAAACAACAGAAAATTTCCAGTTAAAAAATTCTATATCCTTATAAGGTTAATTGTACATTTTTCTCCCTTCAACCTATGAATATAGAAACCAATGTTTGTCTTGAAATCATTCATTCTAGGACATTCTGGGAAATTAGTTTGCCTTTATTATAGCTCAAACTCACGTGTACTTTGAGTAATATTATTCTTATGTATCTATGAGCATGAAAGGAAGGAAGCAGCTTCACTGAGGATATGATATACTCCTGACTGGGTGAATGAAATAGATGTGACTGGTAGACAAATGAGAACGTATCATATATATTCCATGGAGAAGGAAGAAAAGCATAGGAATGCCTTAATTAATAAATGATGAGAAAGAGGGAAATATAAAGCCTATTTGCTCACGGATATGTATTTACTTTTAATTAATTTATTTTGTGGTGCAGAGGTTAGAACCCAAAGTATTTTGCCACTGAGTTGCATTCCCAGCCCTTGCCTACAGATATTTAAATGTTGCTTGATTTTGAAACATCCAAATATTTATCATGTACATGCAAGTTAATCCTAGATAGTAATTTTAAAAAATATTTGGATTTTACTCTTCAAAAGAAGAAAAGGTGACATTTCGTTGCCTACAGTCATTTAACTCTTTCATGGTTCCCCCGCCCAAGATGGAATTCTCCCAGTATTTCATAACTTCAGGGCGGGGTAGGCTATGCAGCTGCATTTTTATAGTCATTGGAACAAACTGAGACATGACAAGGAAAGTATCTTACCACTTGTGCCGGGACTTGTTCTGCCTTTGCAGCAGGAGTTCCTGGTCTTGGGTAAAACTGGTTAATAAAGAGACTTGGGAATCTGTACTCCTCCACAAGTTTCACTGTTTCTTGAAAATCCTGATCTGTTTCTCCAGGAAAACCACAGATAATATCTGTAGCAATTGTTATTCCAGGAACCCTACAAAATACCAAAAGAAAAATGTAAAAAATTGACTAGATAGCCATAATTATTTCATAGCCCTGACATTTTAAATAGTATGAGTTTTAAAATTACATTTTATTTTGAGGAAAGGAACCACTAGTAAATAGTTTTTAAAAGCTCCAAATACTAAAAGTTAGCTATAAGAAACAGTGGTCCCTTGGCCATCCTCAAAGATGTTTATGTCTAATGTCTTTGTTCTTGCCACTGCATTTAAGACATGCTTCTCCTGTTATTTCTAGATCCATTGATTTTTAGGTATATTATAATAGATGAGAGTTTAGCTCCTAAAGTATACTAGCCTTCACTTCCAACATAATTGGTGTGTAATTTCCAGTTAAATTAATAGCAATTCTGGTGGTAGAGCTGCAAAGGTATTGTTCACCAAGGAGTTCAGTGGTATACCACGAAGTTTTATTTATCAAAGTTTTAGAGTTGATAATCTATTTAAATTTAAATAATTTATTAAAAATTAAAATAGATTATTTGAATAATCTATTTAAAATTATGCTTAATATTCTACATTCCTAAGCTAATGTTTTCCACAAGCTCCATCAGATTTGTGAAAAATAAATACTATTTTTGGACACTATATAATTCATCAATCCACTGTTTTTTTCCTTTCTGAAAATGCCACTTCTGCTATCTTCAGGTATATACTGCTTTTATGATTAATTGCTATTATTTTTGAACACATGGTCTTCCTTTGTTTCTTTCCTGTGTTCATGGCTATATGTCTTTTTAAATCTTCATTATCCACCTCACCCTGTGTATGCCTTCAGTGACAGGGCAAAACTGCTTCCTCTCAGCATAGACATGCTGTCTTCAACATGTCCTCAGGAACATGCCCAATCCAGTGTGGTAAGCTTGGTGGTACACAGCACTCCAAGCTGATCACTCCTGATCACTTGTCAGGATTTTGCATGTGTCAAAACTGGCATAGCCAAATTCACTCTGATATATTTTTTTGTTGTTGCTGTTTGTTTTGAGTTTTGCATTTTTGAAGTAGTGCTGGGGACTGAACCCAGGGAATAAGTTCATGCTAGGAGGCAGTGGCTTTATCACTGAGCTACCACCCAGCCCCCCAGCCCTGCACACTTGTTTATTTACATGGCCCTACTCCTCCCTCTCATTTTTGCCAGTCCTGGGGCTTGAACTCAAGGCCTGGGCACTGTACCTTTTTTTTTTTTTTGCTCAAGGCTAGCACTCTACCACTTGAACCACAACACGGCTTCCAGCCTTTTCTGTTTATGTGGTACTGAGGAAACAAACCCAGGCTTCATGAATGGTAGGCAAAGATTCTACCACTAAGCCACACTTTTTAAGTACCAACTTTATTTTCAGTGTTTATTATTTCATGACACAATATGCCTTGGATTAGGACACAAGGCACAATCTGGAGATTCATGGTTTCTCAGTCTATGAAATTATCTTACATTATTTTTATAATAATTTATCTTTCTTACAGACTCTTCATTATTGAATGTTGAAACTACTGGATAGATATCCAGCTTTTTCTCCTATTTTCCATATATGTCCACTAGTTCTGGTTTCTGGAAAATTTATCTAAGCGTATTTTACATTCTTCTACTAGAATTTCAATATTATAGTTTTCATTTCTCATATTTCTTTCTTATTCTCCAACTTTCCTTTTCATAGTATCTTGTTTTTGTTTTAGAGATAAAACATCTTTTCTTACTTATCTGACGATATCATTAAAGTCTTCCTAATTTTTCTGCTCCCTGAATTTTACCAATTTCTTCCAGATTCTTGTACTGTATTCTCTCATATTAGTGGCTGAGACTTCTCATCAGTGAACAGTAACACTTGCTTGTTGTATTTTCACACTTAGGTGCAAAGTGTGAGTGGGAAGTTGCCTTTGTTTTTGAGAGGCCTAGATGTTAGTGGCTTGGGAGTTATTATCCTGTGGTCACTAGTATGCTACAATACTACAATATCCACTTGTATTTAACAGAACAATAATCACAGAATATTAAGTATTAAAAATTGGGAGCTATGAATACAAGAAAAGCATTTCAAATAATACAATGAATACCTATACCAAATTTCTGATCACATAAATGAAGATCCATATAGAATATCAATATTTTGTGGCATAAGAGAGAAAAAGGGATATAAATGAACAAAGTCAGAATATTGAATTCCTAATTAAACCTACAGCTTTGTACATGATGCATACTATGTCTGTATGAAAGAAGTAAGAAAAATTTGTTTCAGAAAATATTTTATTACTCTAATATATTTTGTCTCATCTAGTATTAATTTGGCTGAACTTTAATTAGTATAGATTTCAAGCAGTGGGGCTTTTCTTTCTGATGATAAATAAAAGAGACAGTTATACAGAAAAATAAACATTAGAAAATCATTTAAAAATCTTCCTGTGATATGGATATATTTTTCCCTTGTTCACATCTAATCATCAATCTTATATTTGAAAATCTATTCAGCTCTTATGCTTTTATAGTATGATGCAGATTAAAAGATCATTTTTCTAGACAAAAGACATGAGAGAAAAATTATATAAATAGTTTTGTTTCATTTTTATTATCTTTAGGGAGTTGTTATAAAGGGGTTTCAATCTAACATGTCAGTTTATGAAAACAATGATCCTGATATAATTTTCAATTAACTGGGTTTTCACTTTTAACTAGTTCTGAGCAAAAGAAATCCACAACTACAGTAAGAGGAGTAAATAATAGATAATAGCAGATAATAACTAAGAAGTCCATCTTCCCCAGGAATCTTTTTTAAAAAATAAGAAACTAAAATGCGGCAGACACAAGGACAATTGGCTATTGTCATAAGCTGTGTGTTGGAATGAAAGTGGCAACAGATTATGGTGATTCCCAAAGGAAAGTCCCACACTGACTTCCCATCATTCTTGAACCATGAGTGGAGCTAAATATTTTGTAACACCTGCTTACTTTGGCCTTTGGGTCCAATGTGTCAGGGGGAAGGAGTGGGGAAAGACAAACCGTTATAGGGGGTCATAATAATTGTTAAAGAAGATGTTGAATATGAGAATGTATTTGACAATCTGTATGGAAGATGGATTGATATTACAAGAGGGGAAGGGTTATATTGAATTATATTATTTAATAAGGAGAAACAGTTTAATTGGTTTCTAACTATGTAAAAATATAGCTTATGAGATGTACTGGAAGTAGAGACTGCACCCTAACATTAGATGAAGCTCATCTATACATTAATAAATATGTAAATGATGCCACTTACATTATTGACAATAATTTGGCCCTTTAGGTGAAAATAAAACCTCATTTACACAGTTAATTGCCTAGCAAGTATTTCTCCTCAGTAAGGGAAAATCACAGAAGTTTCAAATAGAGAAAACTCTAACTTGATATCTGATGACTTAAGTGGCTAAGAGGAAATTATAAGAAGTGTAAAATAGAATATTAATCCAAATATTTGGGATGCTAATTTGGGATAAACACTGCTTTTGAGAAGCTCTGAATTTTCAAAACACTCAAAAATTTGAAACTGTCATTTCCACAAATTTTATGAAGTATAATATATGTAATCACTAAGCAATATGTGTTCGTAAATTTAAAACAACTTTCTACATTTCTGTTTTCATAGTAGTTGGGAAAAAATTCTGAAATAAACATGTGAACGAAAATGTTCTGTTAAAAACAAGAATTTTTTGACTCATTTTTTTCTGTCTTATATTTACCAGCAAAATATGTTTGCTAAACAGTTTGGGAACAAAAGATGGAAAAGTCTAATTATGCACCTGACCTTATCAGAAGTAGTGTCACATTCAGTTATGAAACTGTCAGGTATGTGTAGCCATAGTACCTCTTGTTTGCAAGCCGTAGGCTAGGACTTAAGAAAAATCTACACATTTTAAGAGTTAACTATTTTACCCTGAATAAAAACACATACCTACACATACACTCGACTTTCAATATTGGAATTCAAACTTTTCCTAATTTTTACTTATCATTTGGTGTTTTATTGGCAAAAAATATGAGAGAAGTTCTACTTCAGTCTGTAAGTCAAGAAGTTATGTATTTTAAATTCTCCATGTGAAAAATTAGGACTATTACATATGTTACTTATCTCAAAAGAAAAGGACAAAAATGAGCAGCAAAGAATTGTAGCCACTGACAAAAGTAGTAGGCATAAACAACCATACATGATTTTTAAAAAGTTATTTTGGCCATGTTAAAATTTATCTCAAGACTATTAGGGAAAGAAACTTTGAGGTAGGTAGGGAAAATATATCATGAACTGAGTAAAAATGAAAACGTATCTAAATACATTTAATGTTTTGTGTTAGAAAGGTATAAAGTCAATAATTTAAGATTCCAAACTATACTTAAAATAAAACAAACAGAAAGAACAATGTAAGTCAGAGAAAAAAAAAGAAAAATCAGTAAATGTAAAAGGTTTATCTTTGGGGAAAAAAACTAAAAATGACTAAAGCATTAAATAGGATCATGAAAAAGACATGAAACACCAACTTCAGGCATGAAATGATATCCTTACTACAAATATTGTTAGCATTAAGAGAACTCACAAGTATTATAAAAATTATACATCAATAAATGCAAAATTTGGAAAATTCTTTGAAAGTAATAAGTTAGAATGGAACTGAAAATGGAATCAAGAAGGCCATATCAATATCCTTTTGTCTATTACAAAACTGAATTAGTAGTTCAATCTCTTGGTATTTTGTCATCAAGATAAAACATAACACACCAAACTCCATGAGCAGATGGCCTGGGTTAAGAAAAAATAAAATAATATACTTGAGGTGTTTTGGGTTTTTTTTTTTGGTCTGTACTGAGGCTTGAACTGAGGGGCCTTGTACTAATAAAAAGACAAATAACCAAAAAAAATCAGCACTAAAAGATCTACACAGATGGGAACGGGAGACAGGCATACTACAAGCTACCCAGTCATTAGCAGTCAGGCAAAATACATTCAGTAGA